TAATAACCGACGTCAAGCTAACGACTACTGCCATCAAGTCGACGATTTGTTATTTAAACAAAACAAGCAGCTCTATTTCTTAGTCTATAAGCTAGACGATGATATCTGAGAGATTAAGAATAAGTTGAAGCATCTAAGGGAGATCCTGAGAAGGATCTTTCTGCGAAAGTGTTGGACATAAGTAAATATTTACATAATATTAGTACTTGGAAAAGTATATTTGAGGCATATTATTTTATTTTTTATTTTTTTGTAGAAGATATATACAAACATTGTTAAACGTCTTTTTCTGTACTACCTCTATCCCAATTAACATAAACTAAAGGAATCAATAAGGGATTACCTTAATGAAAACTTCCCTAAATTTATGGCTAACATTGGTAAAAATGAGTTTACCAACAGGTTTCACAGTATATGGTGTACTCAGGTATGAAAAAAATTTTTTTTTAATGTCTATATATTTGTATTTAACTATTACTAAGTATATTTAACTGTTTACTAATTAATTTTTTTATATTTATATTTGACCTTTACTAATCGATTTATTTATTTGGATATATTTAACTGATACAAACTATTTCAACTATCTTTGATATTACTAGTTATTACAAAAAATAAAGAACTACCATAGATCAGCATCACAGAACGTCCATAGTTCGATTTGAAAAGTGTTCAGTCATGAAAAGCTACCCTACTTGAAGAGTAGTACTGCCCTAGCTGATATCATAAAGTGGAAGGAAAGCCCACAAGTCAATCAATACTATCAGGCTCTTTTTGAACAAAATAACAAAAAAGTTCTTTAGATTTCTCTTATCACAAGATCTGCATTTAGCATTGCCGCTGTATCTGTTCTGACAAACTACTATTGTGCTTTCACACTTGCAATATGTGATATTATGTTGAACCCCGGTCTCTAAACGTTGTATGCACTGAAAAACACATAAAGCATCACATAGAACGATATTTAGTAAGTATTTGTAATATTTCGTTTATAATCATTTGGAACTTTATTTTTGATCTCTAACATTGTCATTTATGATTAATATTTATTGTATTTTATTAGGGTGATTTCGATGATAGCGGTCCTCAATATGATTCTGCAAAATTAATTATGAATCATAAACTTTCAGCACAACCACATGATGATGACCATTCGAAAGAAGCTTTACCCGAATCTGGGCTTTCATCCTAAAATAGTTTAGCGATACTATCACAGGAGGAAAATGATGACTTATTTGGAGTCAATAAATAGTGATATTAAAAGTTTTTTTTTTTAGCAATGTCTTTTTTTTTTTTTTTAGCAATAGTTTTTTTTCGTTTAATATACTTTTATTTTATATTAATAATATAAATAAATAAATATTAATAAATTGCTTTTAAATAAATAATTTTTTGGGTACTTTTTAGTTTTAAATAAAAGTAAATAATGGTATTGCTAGTTGATTGATATGTTATAAAGCGATGAACTGTATAAAATGAATATTGGAATATATAACGATTACTAGTCGAGAGGGGTATATATCGATTACTAGTCAGAAGGTATATATATCGATTACTAGTTGGGAGGGATATATATCGGTTACTAGCCAGGAGGATATATATCAATTACTATCGCAATTGATAAAAATCAGCAGAGGTGATTAGTATCGATATATATCTCTCCCAGTTAGTAATCAATATATATCATCTTATTTTTTTTGCTGATATTATTTATGTCTGAAAATTATTCACTATATCTGTTCATCATATATAAGTAGCATTACGAACTCTTAATGCAAATACATTGTTCAACTCAATTTCTAGTGATCTGTTTAAACCTGCAAATAACTTTTTATATTTACCTAGCATACAATAAGTATCTATACAAATTCTTAACACATTATCTAATTTAATTTCTATTAATTTGTTTGAATCTGCAAATGATTAATCAGGTTGAAATTTGAATTGGAGATACATAAGGGGGCTTCCAGAAATCAGCTGATTAGGGTTTACTAATAAATCATTCGAACCCACCCACCCCCCTTACCTGCTAGCCAATCAGATTTCACATTTATTAAAACATATAATTAAAATTATATATAATATTTAATATTGAATAACT